TATCGAGGCTCTGCGTAGACAACAACTCTGCGCATTGCTCGTACAAAATTTAGATAGACTTAATGAGGAAATAAAGGAGGAATCCGATGGTGTGCACAATTCTTTATCAATAATTGAAAATTTAGCAGAAATGAGACCTGAAATTGTCAAAGAAGCTGCTCAACAAGGATTGCTAGCCTGGTTACTCAAGAGAATTAAACAAAAAGCTCCGTTCAATCCAAATAAATTGTTTTGTAGTGAAGTGATTTCCATACTCATACAAAATTATGAAGAAAATCGCCTCTTGCTAGGATCACTTGAAGGTATTGATGTCTTGTTGCAGCAATTGGCTAGCTACAAGCGTCATGATCCATCAAGTAACGAAGAACAAGAATATATGGAAAATTTATTTAATTGTTTGTGTTCAGCACTTTTGGCTAAGGAAAATCGTGAACGTTTTTTGAAAGGTGAAGGATTGCAATTGATGAATTTAATGTTGCGTGAAAAGAAAATGTCGCGTAATGGTTCATTAAGAGTACTAGATTTTGCTATGATGGGACCAGATGGACGTGAAAATTGTAATAAATTTGTTGATATTTTGGGTTTGCGCACAATTTTTCCGCTTTTTATGAAAACACCAAAGCGCAACAAAAAACGTTTATTATCGTCTGATGAACATGAAGAATATGTTTGCTCAATTATCGCCTCAATGCTAAGGAACTGTAAGGGTGCACAACGTCAACGTCTTCTTTCTAAATTCACAGAGAATGATCATGAAAAGGTTGATCGTTTGTTGGAATTGCATTTGAAGTATTTGGAAAAGATGGAGTCAGCTGATAGAGAAATTGATCAGCATACTGTAAGTAGCCACTACATTCTTTTTTAGTGTAGTAAGAGCAAAATTAATTCTCTAGAAAAAAGCATTGCGAAAATGCGTTTTTTATGAAAACAAAGTATTAATAGTAACAGTAGAACCCGGTTCATAGTGCAGTTAGTGAAAACGAATACATAAAAAAAAACTTAAACATATAGAGATTAATTTCTATATTTACAATATATTGCCACCAAGAGTAATTTTTTAGTACAGTTACAGTTCCCAGTAATGGTGAAATTATAATTAATGGTAGTTACTGTTCTTATCCTCCGATGCAGTTCTATTATTCTATATTACTTAAATATAGACATATCGATAGATAAATTGGTTACTGAAATACATTTTGGTGAAACTCCACTTTATCTCCTTATGCCCTGCGATTGCCAGGAAAGAAATGTAGTACCCTTCATTGCTTTCAAGAACGGTCGGGTCTACGTCGCGAAGCCACTTGTCGACTAAGTGCCGTTCGACACCTACCAAAAGTGTGTGGTCCAGGTGCCAGCGGGTTACAACAACAACAATACCAACAACCCTTCGTTTTAATTTTATTGAATCAATTGACGGACAAATAGATTTGTCGGCAGCCTTAATTTATTGTCTAAATTATATAGTTAGTGAAAAAACTCGTAATAGTGGGTAGTAGGTGGAAGGTCAAACTAAAACCAGCCAGAGGCATTAACAAAGAATCTGGCTAATGCTAATGGGCTAATGGTGAAATGGGCCTCTAAAAACTTAAACCTAGTTCTGGCCAAACCTGGACAAAGACACATCAGGTGTTCTGGTGTCATTTTGTCAAGAGCTGGTAGTCACGCACTACAAGAGGTACCACAGGGTAGACCGAGTCTAGCTCCATGCTGTCTCATGGACCAGTGTCCTGTAAAGACAGATTAACTAAATTATATAAATATTCTAGGTTATCTTAGTATACTCTCTCTAGCAATGCACCAATGAATCTTAAAGGTTAATACAATAAAGGTTTACAATATTCCCTTCTAATAACAATAGATTTTTACAAAACCAAAATTTTGCAAAAAAGGGGTCTAAGAAATTTTATAAATATTACATATATTTTTTAACACTTAAATATATTTATAGGATCCTGAAGCTGATGAAGGTGATATAGAAGATGCTAAATACGTCAAACGCTTAACTTGTGGTTTATTTACCTTAGAGCGAATTGATTACATTATTTTAGAGGCAAGCGCCTCTTCAGAAACTGTCAAACAGCGGGTATTACAAATTTTGAATCTACGTGGTGCTTCTATGAAGACCATACGTAGCATTATGAGAGGTACGCATCAATATTTATTTTTAAAAAAAATACAAAAATTAATTTATTTAATTTTTTTAATTTTCTTTAGAATATATTGGGCATATGGGTGATGATGGTGATGCCGAGTGGAAAGCAAGTCAACAGACATATATACAATCGTTAATAGATCGTTTTTAAATCTGTTGTTAAGATATTAAACGTCAATTTTTTTTTTACTTTAACTAAACCGATGTAAACAATCAAATAAATTAACAAAATAAACAAATATATTATTACATTATTGAAATGTTTTTTAAATGTCTGAAATTATTAATACTATTTTTAGAAAGAAGAGATATATATATATGACAAAGGCTTTAATAAACTCTACCGTATTTATAAATACATACTTTACATGTATTATATTAATACAGTTAAAACTCCACTTAAGTAAAAAACGATGGTATCAGAAATTATACGCGGTTTACATATTTATCTGTATAAAAAATATATTATATGAAAAATAACACAGTTAGGAGAGATATCTGTTTATGAGTGTATCAGTTTAAATTCTGCCGATTAATTTTAGTAAACGAATCAAAAATATTATGCGGGATGCGGTATTCGGTCTAAAAATCAGTTAATATGCTTTAAAGTTCTTACAACGTAACATCGGACGGATTGTCATCGGCATCTATTATCTTTGCTTTTTCGAGTTAAACAGAACATCCATAAACTGTTAGTGTTGATGTTACATAATGAATCAAATAATGGTTATAAGTGTGAATGTGACTAATTACTGGAGTTCTTAACTACACAGATGATCAGCATATCTTGCTGCGCCGAACAGGGACAGTGCCAACAGCTGACGTGAAGCTGTAATAATGATAAAGAAGAAAGGAAACAGCAACATATTTACTATGGGTAGATTTAAAGCTCTTACTAATGAACAGCTCTTTGATCATATAGGTGTAGATTATATGTTATCATAGAGTAAATCTTTACTTACTTACAAAGCTTTCCTATACTCACTTGTAGAACATTCGTATAAAATAAAATTTTTTAAAAATTTTTAAATATGACTTCCAATTTTTTATAGTGTGGATATTCAAGTTGTACTTGGTTCTCTGATACCCTATATGTTCAAATCGAGTATTTATATGTTTGAATTTATATGTAATGAATAGTTCACGAGTTCTTCTATTATATGGGCCAAAAGTAGATCGCGATGTATTAGGTCTGTTCTGATAACCAGTATTCCCTATAATATTAGTAAAATGACTATCGTTCGTAATAACATAGCAATCAATATTATAGTTTGTTCTTTTTTATTTTTAGTATATAATAATTTAATTACATTTTATATTTATTTTGACTATGACTGGCAATGAATCATAGTCATAGCAAAGAATAATAAATGCATATCCAACTTAGCAGTTGGTAATTTTTAAATTCACTTATCTGTTGAAATTGACATTTGTTATTATTTTTATTACAATCATAGTTAGAAGGGCTTGAACATTAGCTGTCTGCGACACTGCTTCCACTAGTACTATGTGTAGTTATTGAAAAATGCCTCACATCACCTATAACTAGGAAAGATTTGATCATCAGCTAAAGATTTTATCTTCAGCTAAAGATTTGATCTTCAACTACAGATTTCATCTTCAGCTAGAGATTTGATCTTCAGCTAAAGATTTGATCTTCAACTAAAGATTTGATCTTCAACTACAGATTTGATCTTCAGCTAAAGATTTGATTTATAGTTCAAAATTTGATCTATAGCTAAAGATTTGATCTTTTCTACATCGATTTTTGACCACTCTGATTCGTGACTGTAATTCTTTGTAAAAATTGTTTTTCTTATTATTCAAATACGAAGCCTTCCCCAAGGATATGTAAGAACGATTTCATGCTTTCCATGCATAGTATGTAATTATTGGTTTCTGATAGGTTCGACCGCACTTTAGTCTTATTTAAAAGACAGTGACCAGTTATCACTTGAATTATTGTTTTTTATTTAATCTATTCAGGATCTAAAAATATTCTATTAAATATTCTGCTTTTTTCTCCAAAGTATTTCGAGAAAAAACGCTCTATGAAGTGGAAGCAACTTTAATACTATTTCAAGTCATAACTTTTTATATAGAAGTTGCCGCAATGAAGATAATATAAAAATCTTTAATTATTTTCTATATCTTTGTCCAGACATTACACAACTTTATCTTAGAGATCATTTCTTAAATGGTCTCAAAGATAATAATAATGAAAGTAGACTTAAAGGAATTTCTGTAGATTTATTTTGAAGACCATATAGCATGTACTTAACATGTATTATACCTGAAGTTATACACGATTAGTATTATTCGTCTGTGTCGAGCAGTTTTGAGAAAAAATGGATAACAAATGGCTCTGAATGGAAATGTTAATAGTTGCATCAGCACGATCCTCTCAACTTAACCACTTATCCATTTTATTGAGTAATGTGTATTTTATTGAATCTACTGCCTTTTTTACTAGTTTTTTAATATATTTGTTTTTGAGATTTAACCGAAGATTGAACTTCTCTTTGAACTTTATAATGCAATATAGAAATTTTTTTTACTGTTTATAGTTTTTTTTTTTTGCATATAAAGAGATTTAAGTATGATTTAAATATAAACGATTAATAAAATCATTTAATAAAACTTAAAATTGATGCTTAAAAAAATAAGTTAGAATGTTTAATAAGCAATAATTTTCTAATTGCATTGATTTGTATATAAATTTTGGTATAACTTATATATGCAAAATAAAACATATTTATTATTTCAAATTTAATTGTTTAATTTAATTGTTTAATTTAATTGTTTAATTTAATGATAAATTTAAAGTTATAAATTTGAGTTAAATAAATTTTTTTCTTTTAAATTTTTATTGAATTCTTGCAGTTCTTGAATTTCAGTCGCACTTTGGTTTTCATTATTTCTTTTTAGTTGCGCATGAATCTTTACCATCTTTACCACCTTTACCGCCTTTATCTTTTTCACTAAGTATAGATAGAAAAAGGCATTAACAAATGAAAAGTAAATAAAAATTATTTAAATAATAAATAAAGTTTAATTTATATAGTTCATTTTGTTCTTGGAACTAAAATACTTAAATTAATATAAATTGAAATTAAAGTAAAAATAAACAAGTACATAATGGAAAAAATACCAGATTATTTTAACTTATAGAACATAATTAAATATTTTGCAAAAATTGTTATTTTTTTCTTTTTTTTGTTGGTTTTCAATTGAATTTTATACAAATTATTTAAATTCTAACAATTATATTAAAACATTAACTACTTAAGTCTTTAACATTTACAAAGTGCTGCATAATATAAACATTTATACAAGTATGTGCAAAAAAATACAAATATCGAATTATTTATAACGACTGTTAACATTTCTTATAGGCAATATTTAAGCTTAAAATATTTTAACAATTTTTGCAAAAAATTTTCGAAAAACTTTCGATATGCAACGCCATTAGCGGCGTTACACATATGAGGTTCGCACATAATGTCATCATCTGTAGTGTGGAACTACTTAATATAGTGTGTGTGTAGAAGTATGTGTAGTTATAACTGATGTAGTGGTTGGCGGTTAAAAGTTAAAAATCGTATCTACTTGGCGCTATCAGGAATCTCGAAGCTAACATCCATATTCATTTCACGCGCTAATTGCACAATTTTAGCCAAATGCACAGATAAATTGGCAGCTTCATCCAAGTCGTGACGTGGTATAATCCTCAGCTTAGAATCTTTAATCAATTGACGGGCCTCATTCACATTTGTACCCTAAGAGTGTTAGATAAAGTATTTATAATTTAAGCAAATTTTTTTATACAAGAATAGTCAATTAATATTTACCTGTAATCTGACAACGATTGGCATTTTCATTTTCAAATCTCTAGCAGCAGCGATAATACCCTGGGCAATAATATCGCAACGCATAATACCACCGAAAATGTTAACCAATATACAATGAACATTTGGATCAGAGGTAATAATTTTGAAAGCCTGTTTTACCGCATCTGCGGTAGCACCACCACCGACATCTAAGAAATTGGCTGGGTTGCCACCGTATAGCTTGATAATATCCATGGTAGCCATTGCTAAACCAGCACCATTAACCATGCAACCAATATTGCCATCCAAAGCAATATAATTCAATTGGTATTTGGCGGCTTCCACTTCTTTTGGATCCTCTTGTGTCCAATCGCGAAGAGCAAATAATTCTTTTTGTCGAAATTCAGCATTATCATCGAAACGGAATTTGGCATCGAGTGCGAAAACTGTGAATGTATTTTTTAGACGAATAAAAAATATGGATTAGTATGCGAATATTAGAAATAGATGATAATTAAATGTATTATATTTTATATTAAAGGCATTCAGGCGTGCTCAGTAACCCAGTCAAAATGTGTGTAAATTTGTTTTTATGAAGCTACCGAGTTACTGAGACATCATAGCCGACAGTTAGTTCAATGTTTCATATTATACAAGTTTTTATTATTTTGTTATAATGCCATATATGTTATATCAAGAAGCTAATAATATAAAATGCAATGAATTGAATACTCACAACTTGCACATTCTCCACCTACAATCCAAGCAGGCAATTTGTAAACAAACAAAAGTACATGAATATTTGTGATGAGATTGATGATTTTTTTGTTTTTTTTTTTGATAAAATAAAATGAAAATAAATAGAAATTTAAAAAAAACGAATGATAAATTAAAAATGAAAACATAAATTTTTAAAATACAATGTGAAAACTACTATATAACAATATAATATATATATACATATATATTTAATAATACTTACTTCCTTCAAGCGCATCTTCAGCATAAGGATTGATTTCAATTAGTAAAGCATCCTTCTCTATAAATAATTTATACATATTTAATAACATTTCTACGGTACTCTCTTCATGATCTTGCAAGCCAACAGCTTTCACGACTTTTTGAGCTTGTTCTTCCGATAAACCACATTTAATATCAACTGGTTCATAAACAATAGCTTCTGGATTTGAGGCAGCAACATCTTCAATATTTACACCACCTTGAGAGGAAGCAATTATGACAGGTCCCTGAAAAAATTGACAGGAATTTTAATACATAATATTAAAATACTTTATTAAGTTAAAATCATATTTTACATTAAATGCACGCTCCATCATTACTGCAAAATAAAATTCTCTACGGGGAAATTTGCGTTCGGCGACCATAACAGAATTGCAAATACGTCCACCTGCACCGGTTTGCTTAGTGACTAATATTTGATTGATCATTTTTCCTCCAATCTTTTCAGCTTCTTCCGGTCTGTAATGAAAAAAGTCTTTAGTATTTTCCGTTTACTAAAACTTAAATTAAAAGAAATACAAATATTATAGTGCAAATATTGAAGCTACAGCTCGAAATGCTCTTATAGTTTCTATTAGGTATAATGAACGGCGCTTTGTCGTCGCGTTGGACTAGTAGTGGGCGAAGCTAGATCATCGATGAATAAGTCGTTCTGTAAACCCAGCCATTTCTAAAACGATATGTATCCAATTTATTAAAGTGGCAAGATGCCTTTACCTTGATCCAGACTAGTTTCAAATAACAACTATTTACGACTTTACTGACTTTTTCACTCTTTTAGTTATCGTGTATTAATTAAACTTTTTTTCTAAAAACTTCTAGAATGCTAGAACACCATCTTATAATTTTTTTTGAATAAATTTTTTTTTTACCTTATCTATTTATTCAAGAGCGTATAAATAATTTTATTTATTTATTTATTTTATACTATTTAATAGTATATATTATAAAATAGATATATCAGACTTACGTGAATACAACGCGTACACCGCCTTTAAGACCATTCTTGAAAGTTCCTACACCACGGCCTCCGGCTAAAACTTGTGCTTTCAATACTAAATTTGTTGTCTCCAATTTTTTGGCAATATCTGAGCATTCTTTTGCAGATTTTGCAACACCGAATCTGTAAAAATAAAACAAAAAAAAAAAAAGAATCGATTTAGAAAGGATATATATATATAATTCACAAAGGATTATTATAATCTGTTGATCACAATTGTAACCTCAAATTTGATGTTTGCTATTCTATATCTGCCTTCAAGAATTACTGATCATTTTTTGAGAAAATCAAAATTATTTCCTATTGAAAAATTTTTTATTTATTACAAATAAAAGTGTGTATATCTAGTAGATTCCAAAATCAATCTGAATTTGTCTGTTTGGGTAAATTTGCCTATTTGTGTGTTCAAACCTTCAGTTATCTGCTAACTGGAGCTTGATCGCTGTCTTGGCTCCATAACTACATATGCACATTGTTATCGACCCATGCCCACAGTGTATTGCCTAATGACAATACCCGGACACGGTGAAGACTAGTCACCGAAGAAACGCCAAAAGAAAAAGGTATATACTTAGCTCTACAGATTATAATCTATCTGATGGCATACTCTACTCCCATACGCAAACTGAATGGAAATATAAAATAAAAAATAGAGATAACTATAAACGTAACTGAAAAAAAGATATCAAAAAGTACATCCAAGTCTCAGTATGTCTGCGTTTTTTTTACCGAGAGGCTACAATATCAAAAGATATTCAAAAGTCATTTGTCCAG